TATAATGCTGATAATTTGGCTGTTAGGGCATACATAAAAATCTTGACTCTACAAATTTAGTATTGAATAAAATAAGGTATACCAAGTACTATRGAAGAAATAGTAGTAAATGGAGACCTTTCTGTTTTCCTTTTTCTGTACAATAAGTATATAGTATATATTTAGTATTTATAATATTAATGTTTGTATAAATCTGTAAGGATTTCTAAARATGTTTTATGATTTAACTGAGATTTTTAACATCTGCCTGTCTGCCACAGGGAGTTCAGGCAGGTGTATTCAGGCTGATATATTTCTAACTAATTTCCTTTCATCCTTCTAAAATTTGTTGCTTTTCAATTTAGTTAAGTGCTTCTATTTTCTCTTTTTATAAAATAACTCATTTTTCTTCTTTTCCTCTTTTTTTCTCACAAACCATATTCTCCAGCCTCTGCATTTACTGGAGGTTACCCTGCAGTATCGCTGTGCGTTAGCAAAAAGAGAAACAGAATTTCCCTGGAAGTTTTACTGTTTTAATACAGACCCAAGGAGTAGCTTTGTTGCTTCTCAAAGCCATATGTTTGGAAATGTCCTTCACGACAGAAGTCTGAGAGTTACTAGGACAAGGGACCCCTAGATGGTCCTTTGGAGAGAAGCTCTTGGACTGGCAGCGAGSTTGTCAGGGGCCAGAAAACTCAGTGTCTTTGTGCTCAAGCTTTTTTAAGTGGTGAAAACTTGATTTTTGTCCATGCTTCTTCCTTTTCCCCTTTCTGACAGTGACCCAATACCGATGGTGCATTTGCAAGACGGAGATACTTGTAGGTCTCCATCCGCTGCCTTGAGGAAGCGATRAGTTTGCTCAGCCTCGGCAGGCGGCCGGAGCTCTTCCCATCCGCTTCCGGGTGACATGGGGGGATTTCAGTTAATGCGGTTCATTTGGGCACAGTTGGACAAGCCAAGTTGAAGCTAAGCTCCCAGCTTACATATATTTCACTGGGTGCCTATATCCACGTGTGCATGTGCACTTTCACACCCACATGTGTACGTGTGTGTGTATAGACACAAAAATGTAAGGCAATAACATGTGATTATATAAATGCAGCTGCTGTTTGTAGAAGCATCCTCGCAGGCAAGTGCTATGCAGTGAAATCACAACGCATGTTATCTATATGTCATTGAGTCAATGCAGCTTTTCTGTGAGCTAAGGTTTAGTAACCCAAAAGCAACTGGAAAAGTTCTAAAGCCCTGTAGGTAGCCAGTGCTGCTAGGTCACATAGCTACTCCTGAAAATGTTTTGCTGTTTTCTCTCTTGTGCATCTGAGAGGTGGCAGATACAGTCTGAAGGATGCAGACCTTCTTAGCAGGTTGACTTCTTGACTTAGCTGGTTTTGTTTAGTGTGAAAGCAAAAAACAGAAGGGCGGAGAGGAGCCCAATCTCTCCCGTTATCTGAGGAGGAAGTGAGAGAGCGAGAGCTGGTACCGTGATACCTCTTATCCCTCAACTCCTGTGTCCTGCTCAAGGTGTGGAAAACCAGCCTGGGTTTGTGTGTCAGCCTCCGGAGAATGGGGAGGGAGGCAGAGGCTCGGGCCCATGTTTCCCCATGCATTCCCAGGAATGCATTCGCTGCCTGACTTTCAGATGAGTTACCTGGGAGCGTTCCTGTCTGGTTGGTTCTGCTTTACAAGAGCAARCATTTTGTGGAGAAGGGACTAAAATGTGGCATAGCCTTCCTCTCCTGCGCCATGAGGGAGCTTGGGGGTTCAAGTACTCTACTGAAGCCTCAAAAGCTGCAGTGTGGAGCTACAGTGAGTCTTCTTCCCCTTGGTGGCTGTGAGTCTTCCTCCCCTTGGTGCCCGTCTCACTTGCCGCTAGGAGCGGCCTTTTCCAGGGAGATGGGTGTTTGTGGCCGGAGCGGGAAGCCGGTTATTGCCGTGGTGCTGTCCGCCTGTGCGCCCATTTGGGATTACGCTAACACGCCGCCTTAAACATGAACACACCACCTTTAACATCACCCTAACGTGCTGGCAGCAGAGGATACAGGGGGGAAAAAACCCAAAGCCTCAACTACATTATAATTATTAAACGTTTCCCATGTGTGCCAGGTTCGTGTCCAGCAGTTGCACAATATTCCCAAGTCCAGGGGACTTCCCATGGTAAACCCACCCGGCAAGGCGGGAGCTGGGCACAGGCAGGTTTTCAGGGTGGGGGAGGCTCTACTCAGTGTTGAAACCCTTATTGCTAATAGCCCAGAAAGGAATCTTGTCTCGCATGAGATGTTCAGGCTAACACAGGTATTGTTGCCAAAAAGTATATTCGTTGGAAATGTSGCCATTTGGTGAGGGCAAAAAGGGTCCATGGCTTCTGTTTGGGCGTTGTGCTGTCTTTGGGGGAGGCATATGTTGTTGCRTGGGTTTGATGGGTTTCATTGCATGTCTCCTATACAGGCTGAACCGTGTGCCTTTTTCCTGATTTTTTCTTTATTTCAACAGGTCAGTTCTGTGTTCACTGAACACGTTCACTCCCTGTCCTCCTTGCTCTTTGCATGGACTCTGCTTTCCAGCCTCGCTGTGAAACAGGGATTTATTGATACCGACGACTCCTTTGTCCTTACCTGGAGCTTGGAAAAGGTCACTCCATCCGTGTTTTATCTGGCGGCTGCTTTTCGCCCCACTTCCCTTAGGCAGCACTGATACCTCCAGGAGATTCCTGCACATCCCTTAGGTTGCTTGCACCCTTCCTTGTTACTGGTCCCTTACAGGGCGTTTCCTATACAATAGATGTATTTCTCTTGTTTGTGTGAGCAGCAAGGGCTGCGCCACCTCTCGGAGTTTCTCACACCAGGAGCACAGAGGAACTCGTTCTTCTCGCTTGGCGCTTGCCGAGTGCAGCTCCTCGGGGGCTAAGGCCACGGTTTGGAGCTCCTGTCCTGGGCCTTTCCTTGTTATTACCCAGGAATAATCAATCTGCACGGAGCTGGCGGGCTGTTTGTTAGTGTTTGTGCTCCATGTGGATGGTACATACAGAAAATGGGAATGGGTTTAGGATTTCTCGGGTGGGAAAATTTCCGTTGCTGTTCAGCTTTGTTTCCTTTTTATGGAAACCACTTTTCCACCTTCTCATCGTGCTGCTTCGGTAACATCTTACTAAGAGATGGCTGTAGAAAAGGACTGGCTCTCTCCAACCTGAACCTCCAGTGGGTTTGGAAACGGGAGTGACTCTGTGTGTGTTTGCCTAACTTCACCTGGGGTGGATTCTGCCCTTGAGTCAGAACTTYAGGCGCTACCTTCAACATTGACTTTCCTCTCCTCCCTCCTCCTCTATCTGAGATGTGGTTATGAAAGGCGTTTGGCTTCGTTTCAGTTGTGTTTGAGTCACAACTTTGTCACTTTTAGGCTAACGTTCCTAAACGCTGAGGGCTGGCAGTCGTTGGGAAATCCGCAATCACTCGTTCCCAAGCTCCACGAGATGGGCTCTTCTAGGAGTGACTCAGGATTCAGAGAAATCTGCATTCGGATCAGAGCACGACTGAGCTGTTCCTGCATTTTAAACGTACAAATGAGCTTGGTAATTCCCCAGAACAGGCAGGGAAGTCGTGTGGCCATCGTCATGAGTAGCCCCAAGCGGGACCGCAGCCTTGGTCTTGGTACCAGCACTTCACCCTTCAGGATCATGCCAGAGCTTTCTTTAACAAATCTTGGAGGTTGTTCCTAGCGTTTTGATGCATGTTGCCTTTTTCTAGTATTTATTGCTGATAGTAATGTCGATGCCACTGGATTATTTTAGTGTTCTGTGTTACAGACCCGCCAATAAGACATGAGSAGCTAATGCCAGCAGGAGCTGAAGGAGAGATTCCTGGCTGTTGTTTCCGAGTTGGGCCTTAGCTGCAGTCTGCAGTTCAGCGATGTTGCGGCCTTATCAGGGGAGCCAAAAATGTTTCCTTTGGAGCCCTTTCTTCCTAGCTGTACTGAATGGGAGACAGCGTTAAGGTCAGGGTGAATAATATAGTGAAGAGTGGTGGGCGAGGAAGTTGTGTCCAGCTGGAGTGTCCCACAAGGAACCTTCTGGGATACCCATGGTGGCTGCGTCCCCAGGGTTACAGTGGCCAAAGAGACTTCCTGAGAGGCTGGTAGGGGAGGTTGTTTCTAGCTGTGAAATGCAGTAGAGGAGCAGAATTTCCAGGTATATTGAGATAATTTAACCATATGTCAGGTTTGAGAATTAATAATCATGTGTTAATTTTGCTTTATATTGCAGTATCCTGATACCGCTTTAGATAATGTGTCTCTATAATAAGCAAGTTTAAATGAAAGCAAAAACTTATTTATTGTGTAGTCTGAAAGATAGAAGTAATGAACACTTGGTCCTCTTTCTCCTAGGACTGTATATAGCCGAGCTTATTGTGCACGTGAACACAATTTGCACATTTTGTGCTATTTGTAAATAACTTATTTTCTGTCCACAGATGCACATAAAATTAGGGAGGGAGATAAGTTCTGTTATGTAGCAAAAACAATAGTCGTGCTTGTGTTGGCCTGTGCACAGCAGGAGGCTGTGAGACTTGGAATAATGAAAGCACAATTTATAAAAATAAATGTGGGGGAAAAATATAGATGTCTTAGAATTGTGCTGGTGTCTGTGAGAAGCTGCTGCTGCCTTATACACGCTGAGAAAAAATGTGATGTGTCTCGAAGGAAAGTGTTTGCTTTATTTTGCCATATCCATATTTCCCGATAGATTACTCATTAAACTCTGAGAACTTAGTAGGTACCACTAAAGAAGTAATTAAATATTTTCTGTAAATAATAATAATTTGAGCATGCTGCCCTTGTAATAGTGGTAAGGTTGTATATAGAGACTTACTAAAGCCCATGAAACTGTTCAGTCACTTGTCTTTGACCTTGGCCATTATGTTGTGGTTACATGTGCGCACTTTTCTTTAAAAAAAAAAAAAAAAAAGTATTTTTGCTCTATTTGTAGAAACCTTGTTTTTTTTTTCTTTTTTTTTTCCCCCACAGTGGTCAAAAATTTATAAAATTTATAAAAACATGTTCTAAATATCTGATCCTGCAGAGGAATCAGCATGTTAAGAACTTACATTGCTGCATAACTTGATGTGACCACACAAAGTAAGTAGTGTTTTTGTGGCTCCCTTTGGGATCAAATGCATTATGCTATTGCAGTCTCCTAAATGATGTCAAATCACAACTTCCATTTTTGCACTGAGCTTTTAATTTAAAAGAAAACAGRAAAAGGTCTGTAGCTCTGCTGCCAAAGTTTGGGGATTATATACCCTTAWTGTCTGCCTTGATATTGTGGAATCCACTGCAAAAATGCTAATATTTGACAGAATAATGACCTGGCAGTACTGGAAGAGTAGAATACTCTTTTTCCATATACACCTTTTACAGTGTATATGTGAACTTTATATATAAAATGTGTAATATATATAGTGTATATAACTTGAAAAATCTGTTGTGTGCTGACCATGCCTTCAATTTTCATTATACATTAACTTGTGGGTAGCTCACATCTCAAAACTTTTCATGTAGCCTGTTTTTTATTTTATTTTTTAATTAACAATAATTTTATTGGCATTAGGAAGTTGTTGAGCTTGCATCCTGTGTTGGTTCGCGTGGCTGCCATTTGTATAACCAAGATGATTTTAGGCTCTTTATATGTTCTGGCTCTCATTCTCTCTGGCCAGTTAGCTTCCCTCTCACTTTAAAATAAATCTCCCTTGAGGAGGTGCTCATATTTGCCTGGTGATCCTTTAGAATGAGATGACTCTTCACTGCCCTTTCAAGCGTGTCTTCATGTCATTGAGCGACTTGAAAATACCATATTGGAGAGTTGTAATTTATGGTTTTGCAGTAACTAGAATAGAATTTGTACTGAAATAAACTTCTATTTCTTAGTCTGTTTTACAAAAGAACCAGTGTGTGTCTATTGACATTTATTGACCAATTTCGATAGCTGACTATAGGAAGTATTAGTATGCAGGTATATGTATTTCAAGTTAGCATACAGGAAGGATGTTAAGGGTTCAAGATAAAACAAGCTGATTTTTGCTCACACTTCGATGGCATCTCTGTATAACTCTCCTAACTTTCTTCTTAAAGAAAAAAAAAAAAAAGGCAAATACATAAATCTGAGGAAGTTACCCTAGATTATATGGTTGCGTACAAGCCTTTCCCTGCCATTGCCTTGCACAGAGAAAACTCAGGGCCCTCTGCAGAATGAAAGGGCTCGAGGCTGAACAGTTAGAACTGACACAGTTTCCTAAGCACCTCCTTTCCTGTTCGTAGCTCCCATTAATGAAAATGCTCTCTGGTTAGGGTCGTGACTTAGCTTGTGAAGTGCTTAACTGCTGCTCAGATCACTCTGTGGAAGCTGGGGAGGTTCTCCTGTCTGCATCGTCTCGGGTTTCCTGGTTTCTTAGAAGGGTAGGTAGGATCCAGTGACTTAAGTGAGACTCCTTGAATGGCCTGTCATCTTTGCGTAGGAATTTGGGAATACCACAGTCTGTATGGGAAAAAAGCAGCTGGTGCATTTCCTAGAGTGAGGGAGTAGGAGCACACAGCAACATCCTCCCTTGCTAAAGTGCCTGGCGTCAGGGAAGAGGGAGATGCCCTTGATGTGGAGCTAAAGTTTTAGCCTTCACAGGAGCAGGGAGCAGCGATGCTCCGATGCCAACGCAGGCCTTGCAGGTTACAGGTGGCACTGGGCTCCTCTCCTGAAGTCTCCAGGCGTCTCCACCAAGGATTTCGGTGGGAGCCGTTTGGGCCCAAGTATGTGTCCCCAAAATGGGCCCGGGGTCAGTACCAGCTCCTTACACAGGTGACAGCAGCCCCAAAGCAAAGGCAGCTCAGAGGGTTTTGGCTAAAACGTCACTCACCGCTCGTTTCACTTCCTTAAACACAAGKGGGTTTAAATTCTAGACACCAAAGCACTGGCCTTACTTCCCACTTTTAGATACTTATTTCTCCTCTTAGTCTTCAAAGTGTCCTCTTAGTCGTCTTATTTTTTTCCAGAATGTGTCGACTATGTAAGTTGCCTGAAAAGGTTATATTTTATTCTCCTTTTTATTGCTGTTTTTCTTGCTGAGCTCGTCTTAGCCGTGTTTACCTTTAATTGCTGCTGAATAAATGAAAACGTGGGAGTTGTAAGCACGCATCCCTGCAGTGATGCTGTTTGCATTCCTCAGTTGTGAATATATTTATTTATTTCTTTATTTTGCTATTGTGCTGTGGAGCCTTTTGCCTCTTCTCATTTGCCGTGACGTGGTCAGTGCCGTTTCCTTCCGGCCGCTTGCAAGCTTGGGGCAGAGATAAGGATATTTTACAGGGCACTTTTGAAAAGAAGCTGGAGACCAGTTTTGTGCAAGAACTCCGTGACTTTCTGTGACTACATAAAGAATATTTATTGGTTTTACTTACTTGACACTGTATGTATGAAGCTTGAGTACTTTTTACTTGGAAAAGAAGTAAAAACTTTGCAAAAATAGGCTTGTGTGTAAGGAAGAAAAGGTGATAGATTTTGAGGTGTCCCAAAGGCAGATCAGTCTGGGTTATGATATATGTGGCTTTTTTTTGCTTTGAATGCATCTTAAAGATAAGATTTCTTAATGTGAAAATGGATGAATCAAAATGAAGAGGTGAACTTTTTCATTAACTTTCATAACTTATCTTTGTTTTACTTTCAAAGTGCTTCATAGTAAAAGTGTTAAACTGCTCTCTTATTTCCTGAAACAGTTTCATTTTACTTTTTTCCTAAGCATACATCTTCCTTCTCTTAAAAAAAAAAAAAAAAAAGTTGTATTAATTAGTATAAGTATTGTCTTTGAAGACAGAGATGTCAAACTTCATTACAGTATGATAAAAATATCTGTAAATTGGAGCACACTTTATTGCGACTTCTACTATTTCATGTAGCTAAAGAAGTTGGTTTTAATTATTATTATTTTTTTCCTCTCCACAGTGATAAAGGGCTGTCCGAGTGGGAAGAACAACTCAGGAAAGGATTTCCCTTGCTTTGTTTACCTTGGAGAAGAGGAAAACCCAGGAAGGCTGACAGCCTGAGAAGTACTAAAACCGATACTTGATCTATTTTTGCGACTGTTTTTCTGCCCAGCTGGATCTTGGTCACTCTCTTCTGCCCTTTTACGTCTGAGACCATTTTTCTTATGTGGAACTGAGACCTGGGAATGCGTTATTATGGCAGCAGTTGTGCAGCAGAATGAGCTCGTGTTTGAATTTGCCAGCAACGTCATGGAGGATGAGCAGCAGGTATGGGGCAGGGCGAGAAGCCGCATTTGTACAAGTTGGTGCTGTTTGTATTATGAAAAACCTAAGGAAAAAGTCACACGAAACACACAAAAACCCAATGATTGTTGCAGCAAGTCTTTACAGTGTTTCAAAAGCTTCCTGGTGCTTCCTGTAACTTGCGTGAGTGGAGCAGAAGTCAGTTGAAATGTTTTAAGTTCTGCAGCGTTGCAGACCTTCCCCTCTGAAAGTGCTGCGCCTGTTTTGGCAGCCTGTGTCAGGAGAGCCCTTCGTGATGCAAAATTTCTTGAAATCTGGTGATTGGCAGTCATTTTAACTTGTTTAGTTGTTTGTTTCAACTGTTCTAGTGTGCTAGGATAAGATGCTGAATAAAACTAACAGTCACTGTGAATGACTAGAAGAAGCTTTAGAAGATCCTCCATTTTTAGTTTGTCTTCTAAATTGCATTACTGTACATATGCCAGATATTCAGAATTAAGCCTCATAGTCATTCAAATTATTTTCTTTCACACAGCAGGGAAGATATATCTGTTTTTCTCTCATGAGATGCTCAGGTGTAGATTCGCTTAAACCACATCCTGTAAGTCCTGGAGCTTCAGGGAGGGATTCCTACCATAAAATAAGGCCGCTCCTGCATAGGTGGTTGTTAATGGTAGGATTTTGCATTTGTTAATAAGAAAACAGATATCTCTGTACTACTGAGAGTCAGTCCTTAAGAGGTTGAGAAGCCCTTGCAGGCTTTAGTGTGTGTGTGCATGTGAAAAGCAGTTTTCTCTCCTGTTTTGAAAACGCCTTTGATTTTTACAATCTTGTCTCTGGGTTTTCCGTATGGGCTAATCCTTGGCTGCCATTGGGCTGTTGCTGTTGTCAGAGTCATATGAGCATTTCAACGAACTGAGTGTTTTCTGTCTCAAGTGCTAACTCAGTTTAGGGTGGAACTAGTAATGTAACTTCCTTCCCTGTATTTTTCCAGAGCTCGTGATAGCCTGGGGATTTAGATATGGGAATTGCATAAGCATAGTGGCAAATATGCCTCATTTATTAGCTCTGTTGTTTGTTGCTGTTCTTAATTTACAGGCCAATGGGAAAGGGGAAAACTGAAAAGGGGAGGCCACTTCGTTGCAATCCCATAAAAGGGGTCGAGGGGAGGCAAACATGGGTTTGCCCTGTTTGTCTCTGCCTTGTGCCTGTCACAATTTTTTTTATGTGGTCAGCTGAAGAACTTCAAAAATACAACCAGCAGCCCAGTGACTCCTTCCTAAATACACATTTCTCGAGGGAAGAGCTAACTTAAACTTAGCATTTACCTCCTAATCCAAATAAGTCCTATTTTAGATTAAGCCTAAGGAAACATGAGGTCCTGGAGCTATTTTAGAGATGAAGAAATGGAAGCTGTGGAAGCCAGTACCTAGTGGAAGGTCCCTTGCTCCAAATGCAGGGATGCCACAAGCTCCGGAATCAACAAGCGGATTGTCTCAGTTCAGAGAGGAAAGATTCAGGCAAATATAGAGATGGCTGCATGAAGATAGATCCTAATTGGGTTCCTAAGCAGGAACGATCTGATGAGCTGGMGAAAGATTTAACTAGAACAAGGGTATGTAGTATAATATTAACTGTAGTGTAACATGAGCCCCAAAAGAATAATTATGTGTATATCTGCTTCTTATAACATAGGGAGCTGAGCTACCAAAGCTCTGCAGTCCTGCAAAGATGTATCRTATTTGGAGACAGACATCACAGTTTGTTTACTTGGAAAAGTTTTTAGCTCTGGGAGTGCTCTGTTTTGATCAAAACAGTATTTGATTTGGTTTTTGAACTTTCTCRGAGCATGAAACACATCATTTTTATACAGAGTTCAATCAGCTAATCTTTGAGTAGTTATTTTTGCTAGGGTCTTGAAAGCTGTAATTGAAAGAACTTAGATCTCGATTCTCTCTTTGTCAAAGCTTTATCTCGAGTCCCTTGCTGYCCAGAGCTGTCAGGAGCTGGAGGAGCTGTGGGAAGAGCTTTATGGCCTATATTGCAGCTATGTTCAGTGTTCCGGGGAAGTCATAATTCATGGCTATTRATTTATTGCTAAAAGTCTTGCTTAATCAGTGATTAATTATGAACAACCCCTTTGCAAACGAGAACCTTCAGCCAGTGGCAGATGCCAATGGGAGGGAYTTTATCACATCATGCTCCATGACCGGGAAACGCTCTCTCCTGTCAACTTTATCCTGTTGAGTTTAGAAAATACTGTGGGGTCTGGAGTGTTTTTGGCTCCTTTCCACCCCTGTTTTCTGTGTGTTTATTTGTGGTCTAGTGTACAGATGACCAGGAAGAAAAGGGATGAAAAAAATCTTTGTAATTTTGAGAGGGGAGCTAGTGGCTTGTGCAAGCACTAGCACATGGAAAACACGCATGCTAGCACACGGAAAACCATAGGTTTTCCGAACAGCTAAGTCATTCCCGCATGCTGGAGGAGCCAGAGTCAAAAAGCCCCTTCAAGGCTGAGGGAGGTCCTGATTTCTGGTCACTTCCAGCTCCTGCAGAAAGTCTGACCTTTTGGCCACTTGTAGTTTTATGAGGGCTTTCAGTATATGCCTGGGAGGTCTGTACAAAGTTGTCTCGCTGAGAAGGCAAGGGGGAGAAAGCAATTTATCTACCTCCAAAATCCCACGGTGAAACTGAGTCCTTTCACATCCCAGCCATGGAAGCACCTTCAAAGTCCAGAGGTCCCCTGTGCTGCTGGYCCACAGGAATCTCCATCGAGGAACGTGAGCGGTGGAAAACTGAAGCCTGTGTTTTAGTCACCTAAATCATCCACCTCATTTTGTGAAGGGCTTCCTTCCGAAGGAATGACCAAATGAAGCTCAGCTTCAGATTTTGTTGCTCTTACAGAGCACATTTCTCCGCTGAGTTTGTTCTGGTTGATTTGTTTGTTCCGCTTATGTTAATTGGATGCCTTTCTTCCCACATAGCTTCCCCTAGTGCTCCAAGCCGATCGGAGGCTGTCACTGTAGTTTTCCAGGAGAAATTTCGAGTTGTTTCTTACTGGGCTTGCTGTATGAGAAGAGTGTGGGTCTTTTCAGTGCCTGAGACTTGAGGAAGATTCTAGCYGTAGCTCAACTTCATTCCTCTGGCAAACGTAGCTGATGCCAAGGCAAAATATAGCGGAGCTGGGATGTCACATTGTAACTTCATTTTGAAGGTGGCACGAGCAAGGTGAAGCAGCAGAGGCAGGCAAAAGGAGAAAMAACAAAATTGCTTCTTGGCCTATGTTGCTGACTTATTGAAATTCAGAGCTTGCTTTATTTACTTTTCTAATTTCCATAAACATTTTCTCTGCTTTGCACTTTCTCTTTTTTTATGTGCGTGTTGGAAAAAAGTTTGTATTAAAAATAATTTATTTTGAGTTTTTTTGTTTGATTATTTGTTTTGTTTTTGCTGTTAATTGATTGACTGCCTTCTAGGTGAAAGCAAGTAGTCCTTAAGACTGGTTGTCCCCTGTAAAGCTGTTTGTACGTCAGCACGAAAAGGAGCTGTAGTAAACACAGACTCTTCTGCAATTCTAAATGTGTACAGTGTCATCACTGCATTTAATGGAGTTACAGGAATTTTAGCTTGGGATTCACGATTTTTTTAATGAAGTCAGGAAAATTACAGAAGCCCTGAGATAAAATTTTGCCTTCCAGTGGTTGCATTTAAAACTAAGGGATATGCTTGGGTAATCACAACTCTTTGCAAATATGATACCAAAAAAAAAGTAGTTGACTATTTTTTGCAAAAAATGTGTTTCAGATTAATTTGAAATTGTATGCATGTGTCTTTTTTTTTTTTTCTTTTTAACCTTGCAAAATAGATGACACTAGATCACACTGACCAAACCAACTGCTGCTAAAACTTAGCACAGTAATATGGGGAACAGATCTTGGTCAGTGCTGAAGCACGTTGCAGAAGTGAAGGAAGGATCRGGCTGTTRCAATCAGGTTTCCCTGCAGAGTTAMTGCCTGCTAGCATAGAATATAGGCAAAGCTTTGAAAGACTGAGATAAAAATGCTTAAGAACTGGTTGGTTTTATCTGCTTCCTCTAATGCTTCATTTTGAAACAGCTTTTGGTGATTGAGCCCCACTGAAGAAGGAGGGAGTTGGAGGCATTTCCGCATCTCAGGAGTGAAGTCAGTGCCGAGAACTGTAGTTGTTAAGGCAGGTCAGTGTGGAGCCAGGAAGGTCGGTGTGGAGCCAGAGTATTTTTTATTTTTAATGCAGAAGTTGCTGCTGAGCAGGGGCAGCCCTTGCTGAAGTGCCTTGCAACCCAAGAGGAGGGGAAGGGACAGCCCATTTCCAAGGCACTGCAGGGAGGCCAAGTGCAGATGAACGTGAACACGACTGGGGGTGTCCACRTGGGAAATGGGCACCCCAGGACCGGCACCCCAGGTTCTAGAGGCACCATAGGGAAATGGAGGTTTTTAGGGTGCAATTTATCTAAAAACAGAATGCAGTCATTTTCTGAAATGTAGTTACTCATATATGTGTATAATGTATGTAACAAGCTCTATGCTGAGGCATATAATGGAAATTGGGATGCTTACACTTTTTTGTAGCTTAAATTTTGAGATTGTAATGGACCATCTTCCCTCTAGGTCATGTTTATGGAACATGTGGCGAATAAATCCTTACTATGCATACAGTATTCTTTTTTTTTTCTCTGTTTGCAGTGTTTTATCTTTTTTTGCTCTTACTTAATCACATCTATGTGCCTGTTCTTGCCTGGAAACAAACAGCGTGTGAGTTGTTGGTATCGTATGAGTTGTTGGTATGCCTGAACAAGTGGGATGCACCATGCAAGTATCTTGCTCTCTGAGAAAGACCAGTGCCCCATTGACTAGCAGTGGGCCCCAGCTTCTCAGCCCAGACAAGACACAACGTCGTGGAGGCCCCCGCAGCAGATGTGGAGGGGAAGCTCTGCCCTTGCTTGGCTCAACACATGCCCATCACCTGACAGCCTCATTGCCTGAGGGCTTTAGTTAGTCTGCCCCTTGCTTATTGTTCCTGATCTCCTACCATGTTGTCCTTGTTTTATTTTGAAGTTGGCTTGATGGAATATGGTATATTACTTTTTTTTTTGCTTTGTTTTTGTTTTGTCACTTTTGTTTTGCAGCCAGGATATGATGGAAGTCCACAGAAATATTGGTTTTATTTACTGATTTCTGAATTCTTATTAATCTCTTCCCTTTTTTCCTGATTGCCTTTATCACAGTTGCTGGCAAGCCGTGTTTTATGACACGCTGAGCAATTAAAAATGGCAATTACTGCCTTTCCGGACCTTTAATCACCCTTTCTACTTTGCTGCTCTCCCAGACTCTTCCCTGGCAGTTGCTTAAGCAGTTGTTGTATTGGGCCAGCAGCTCTGGCTCTTTGGCTTGCAGTTTTCTTTGGGCTGTGCCCTGCACAGTGGCAAGATTGAGAGACAAGAGCAGCCTGAGCAAACTCCTCAGCGTGGCTGAGGAGGCTCTTGTGTGGTTAAGTAACCTGCTTGGTTTGTGTGTGTCTTTGTTCTTCTGTGGAAGGTGAGGCCAAACGCACACATACTGTTTTTCTTGTAGAAACTCACATTTCTGCAGCCTCTTCTGTTGCTGTTTTTGAGGGCTGCAACATTCATAACGTGGTTTATTTTTGCCTGGGAGTTACACTAGGCTTTCTTTGAGCCAGCTSTGCTGCCATCAGCTATGACTTTCTTCCTGTAAATGACATTTTAACAGACTTGCTTTGAAAAATATTTTGTCTGTAGTAAATAGCACGTTCCGAAAACCTCTTCCTGTTGAATGGCTGCTGCCTTCTGAGGGAACGTGTGCATTACTGTGGTTCTTGCTGGTCAGATTCTGTTTTCCCAGCTGCCCTTTTCTTCTGTATCTCATACAAAGTAACTGTCAAAAGAGGAGGATGAGAGTAGACGTAGGAAGGAAAAGGTGGGGAACAGTGTCAAGTGAATAAAGACATAAGAATTCAAGAGGGAAAGTATTGTGATGTGTATCAATAGCTCCCTTACACCTCTGACTACAGCTAGAATAGTCATCTTCACCTGGTGTCCTGCCTGCAATACCATCCTGTGTCATAGAATCCTTATGGCTGGAAAAGACCTTCAGGACCACAAGCTCATCAAGTCTCCAACCGTAAACCCCTCACCACCATCCTGCTAACCGTGTCCCTAAGTGTCTTATCTACACGTTTCTTGAACACAAGCAGGGATGGAGACTCTACCACTTCCCAGGGCAGCCTGTTCCAACTCTTGGCCACTCTTCCCATGTCCTCACAGCTGTGGGGCTTCTCCAGCCCCACCTCRACCAGGAGCCCGAAAGGTTGGGGCTTTGCAGCAAGATGCTGGGGTTATCACCAGCTGAGTTGGAGATTTACTGCCCTGTGCCCCTTCTCTGGCCAGTGAGCTTCCACACTGCACATGCTCTCAAGGCTGTGCAGAACTACATGTAAGAGAGCAGAGCTGCTGTACTGGGATATTCCGGTGATGCCCAGCAGCTGGCCCATAGCTGGACACTGCAGCTGCTCTCCTTGGGGTATTGAAAGTCAACCTGCTCTTTAGTACTCCTCCCTGACCAGCCAATGTTCAGTGGTATGGGTCTGTTGAGCTATTCGTTTGCACGAGGTAAGATTGCATATAAGCCAACTGTTTTAATATTTTTTCCCCTCATAGCTTGGTGATCCATCTATTTTCCCTGCTGTCATTGTGGAACATGTTCCCAGCGCAGACCTCCTGCACAATTATTCCGGCTTAACCTGTGTGGATGAACCCAGTGACATGATCACCGAGAGCTCTCTCGATGTCGCAGAGGAGCAAATCATAGAAGATGACGATATCACCCTTACAGGTTTGCTATAAAGACATTTCTGTACCCTTTCCTTATAACAAGGTGTCAGTAGCTCTTAGTAGAAAAAGTTAATGACAAAAGCAGTAGGAAACAAAATTATAGTAGTATCGAATGCTGTTAATTCTGTACAAGAYAGGAGGGGGGGAAAAAAAGCTTTAATATCATTACTACAGAGCACTTGCAATCCAAACTGCTCATCTTGTCAGCCATTGATAAAGATAAAATGGAATTTTGCTTAATCCTCCTCAAAGTAACTGAAAGACTTTGTTTTTAACAGGTCTACAAATCCCTTTAAATCTCTTTGAGTTCTATTTATTTATTTATTTATTGCTTTTAATAACTGATAGTGATACATGCTGAAGTAATTTTGCTCTTTGGCCAAGAAGCAGTAATTTGCACTTTGTATGGATGTAGGGGTTGARTTTCCTGCAGAGATGTGATTATCCATAAAGTGGGCACATTCACATGGCTTCCTGGCGTGAGCATGCTCAGCAAGCTGTTCACCTCGAATCACTACTAGTGATGAACTGTGAAAATACAGATGTTCTGCATAAATTCTGTTATAAAATGTAATCCAAGAGAGAGGGGGAAAAAATCTGAACAGGAAGAGCTTTTYTTTTCTTTATGAAAAGGTTGAATTAAAAAAAAAATCTTAATCATGTGARGTGTATGGGTTGTTTTTGTTTTTTAAATGTGTCTGAAAGGCTTGGTAGATACTTTACAGAATTAGGATCTGTTAATGTGTCTCGATCTGTTCATGTGTCTCAGCAGTTACGTTTCTTGTCTGTACTGTCTCCAAGGTTGGAGGWTTGCAATAAAAGAGCTAGTTTACTGGTTCTGTCATGTTTTTGACATTATTTCTGAAGGCATATTCTGATACAATCTTTATTATCCAAACCAAAACAAAACCCTACAAAACTTGATGTGAGCTACAATTCACAGAGTAGTAATTTGACATGAACTGCTCTCAGCAAGTGGTTTTATCTGATAAATACAGCTCCTTTTTTTTGTAGTGAACTATCTGTGAGCAGATTGTGACTGTACAAATAAGTTAGCTGATTATTCAAGAAGCCTTTACATACTTAAACATTATTACAAGCTGMGACTTCTTGCCAACTATTCACTTGCTGTTCACATTAGTAATTCACCCTCTAACTGGCATTTTCTCAACACGTCACTTAAGCACCACTTAATGTGGCTGTGTGAATTTTTCCTAGTTGATAGTTTTATGATTTCATGTTCAGTATAATATATTGTGTATGAACTTAGGTTTGTTTGAATAACTGTGAGACTGCACTTCTATGAATACTTTTGTTAACTTTTTTTTTCTGGCATCAATGGTCACATGAGAAGGGTTTGCAAACTGCCAAACTCTAGCGCTGCCAGAGACTGAAAATATGTAATCCTTGTAAGTGGTGGTGTCCAAGAGCTTCTGGGATGCTTGGGAGGCAGACAAATGCTGTAATGTGAGCACCATGCATTGTAGTTCAGGCAACCTGCCTGTCTTTAAAGGCAAGGAGGAATGTGGGGAGGAAGGAGCCAAGCTCTTCTCAGTGGTGGCCAGTGACAGGACAAGGGGCAATGGGTACAAGTTGAAACCCAGGCAGTTCCATCTCCAGGTGAGGAGGAACTTCTTCCCTGTGAGCGTGACAGAGCCCTGGCACAGGCTGCCCAGGGAGGCTGTGGAGTCTCCTTGTCTGGAGATCTTCCAAACCCGCCTGGATGCCGCCCCGTGCTCTGGGTGTCCCTGCTGGAGCAGGGGGTTGGACTGGATGRTCTCTAGAGGTCCCTTCCAACCTCAGCCATTCTGGGATTCTGTGGCAGCTTTGCAGAGATGACTGTTTGCAGAAGGTGCTGAGCTGCTTCCCTGCTTCTCCCTCCACAAGCTGCTCTGCAAACTGTGGCTTCTGCTGGCGCAGCGCGATGAAAAGCCCCATCTCCCAGCACAGGGCAGCCCCAAGGCGGGCAAGGGCTGGTGCCAGCAGCGGGTGCCCATCCTGCCCGGCATGAGATGGGTGCGCGAGGAGGCTGCTGATGGTTCCTGCTGGGAGCCCATGGGTTCTGGGGCTCCCATGGGGAGCTCCATGTGCCGCACGAGCGTCGCCCACGACTGCTCCGGCCTCGTTTCGCCACGAGGCTCCGCGTTGGAGCGCGGTTTGCAGCTGCTGCCCACCGGCTGGGAGTGGCTGGGCACCAGTGGTATCTTCCGCCTGCCCTGTTTTTCAGTTGTCCTTTCTCTTCTTTGAAGCCCCCTCCTTGATTTTGATTGCAAATGTTTGGTCCCAACAGGTCCTTGTTTTGTTTTTTTTTGAACTCTGTACAAATCTTCTCAGTCACTCCTGCATTATGCGCCTGAGAGAGAATGGTCCCTTGTACAGACTGCAATAATTCCTCTTCAAAGTATTCCTTAGACTGATGCTCATAACCCAGTGAAACCAAAAGTACCATTATTTGTGACTACACAGTCATGAGAAACAGGTGTTTCAGATGCCTGTCCTTTTTAAACTACAAGCTTTCCTGTAATCTGTTTTATACCTTTGTCATATATTGAGCTTCTCTTTTCTCCTGAACTTGGTAAATTAGCAATGAAGCACTTAAACACAGAAATAGAAGAGACTTGTATTTTGATGATCTAAGTGCAGTATTATTGACTCTGGTAGGTTTTCYTGTCTGCAGGATGTAGCATAAGCCCTCAAAAACACCAGTTATTACACATTAATGATTAACTTACATGTACTATAAATTGTGACCTACAGAAACCTGTAAGAACATTATTTTACTTGAAATACTGCTGAAAGATGACTGGCCTTCTAATTATCTTGATGACCTCCCTTTTTTATATATATATTTTTTATAATGAATAAGTAGACTTGTTCTGTAGCTCTCTTCTTTAAAAGCTCTTTTCCACTGAAAAACTGTGATAACAACTTTTATGGTCAGTTTGCTGCCAATCCAATATGACTAAGTGATTGGCTCTGTTGGTTAAGAGAGAAAAAGAAAACAAAAACAGAGCATTTGACTTTGAGAATCCAGTTTTATCTCCAGCAGGAATATTGAATTATTCTCTATAAAGAACAGGATAATAATTTGTGTAGAAGAAATTTTAGCCAACTTGTCAGATGATACAGTTTGCCACACTTAACTGTAATTAATTATATCAGTAAGGTAAAAATAGGTATAGGAAGAGGAACTAGGTGGGTTATGAARCTTCCTGATAACTTTGTATTTTTTCTTCAGTTCTGGCATGTTTGATTTATTAAGTAATTGAACCCTCTGCAATTTTATAGCTGCTGCTCATCTGTCCTGCCCTTCCTTTGATGGAGCTGGTGATGCCTGGCGCTGAGGAAGTGCCTTTCTGTGCAGGAGAAGGGACAGAAATTTGCACGTGGGTTCAGTGTGCCCTGGTCTGTAAATCCCGAGCACATAAATGTGGATCCTCAGAGTTCACTAATAAAGGTTAATGACCAATTCAAAAGTTATTACACAGTCTTTCCAAGGTCCGTAGCGTGCGGTGAACCTCTACTGCCCCTTGCACAAGTCATACCCTTCAGGTAAGAGTTGTCAGGTGCCGTAATCCAACACAAACCCAGTGTATTTGGTAAGCATTTATGGTGTGAAAAAAATCAAAAGGCATATATAGTTGGAAACAGAGCTTTACAGTGTTAATCCAGGAGGATTTTTAATTGACAAAATGCCAATCATAAAAATGGCCAAGGTTTCAGTTACTTCGTAAGGCAATTATTAGCTGCTGCACAAAGCATCTGTTTAAAAACTGAGTGTTTTTCTGTCGTAACTCCCCAATGACATAATTTAGCTTATAAATTACAAAGTTTTATTAAAAAAATAAAAATATTGCGCATAGGTCTCCTGAAATACCTCTGTTGTTAAACTAGGACTTGGTTTTCCAATAGTTAGTTCAGAGTTTATATTAAAAAGCAATCACTTAACTCATGCAGTTGCTCTGAAGAAGAGGGCTTAATCTGTATTGTAAGGGCCCTCTTCCTRCTTCCAGCAGATTCTCTTCATACAGTTTTGAGACTCTGCGGTTCCTCTTTCTGCCCATAGTCAAACAAGCACTGCATTTAACGATGGTTGAGTAGCACAGTCCTTATGTCAGGCTGGACAAGGACTCACCCTGTCTGCTCTCCAGGGCCCTTGGCCTCCGGATGAATGACCAGAGCAGGAGGCAGAGGGGCTGGAAGAGGCTGGTGGATGGTGCCACTGTTTGGGCACCACCGAAGGACAGGCACACGAGTGACCTCAGCACCAGAGGCCGACTTGAGTGCAGAGGTGCAAAGCTTTCCAAGGGACATTATACAGGAATGCTTAAAGTTGGACATGGGCTCTGGGGAAGCAGCTTCTGGTTGGACGTGTAGCTGCTTTCTCCAGCAGGTGGGAGGAGCAGAACGTGCTGTGGACAGGTCTTGTGCTATGGGCAATRACTGAGAGCAAACACGGATTGACAACCAGGTAGCTGTGGCTGTGCACAGTTCTACATCTGTTCCACAGGAACTTAAGGAGAAAGTTCTTAACAGTGAGGGTGMCAGAGCCCTGGCACAGGCTGCCCAGGGAGGCTGTGGAGTCTCCTTSTCTGGAGATCTTCCAAACCCGCCTGGATGCCGCCCTGTGCTCTGGGTTTCCCTGCTGGAGCAGTGGGTTGGACTAGATGATCTCTAGAGGTCCCTTCCAACCTTAAAGATTCTATGATTCTATGAAAGTGTGAAAAATAAATAGTTTTGCCCCAATTCTTCTTTAATTTKTGATTATCTCATAATTGACAGTAACTGGGATATCCATTGGCAATATTAAGAGGAAGGGCAGAGTGCTGAAGAGACTGAGGTGACAGCGATATCAGCTTGGCTTGGTTATTTGAGTGGGTTGTGCCCGAGTCCTGAGTGATGCACATGGACCTCTTGCTGCTGATGGGAGAAGTGCTCATGAATCCACTGTGTGGTTGTGTGAGCTCTTAAACTCTCTAATCCAACTTGCAAACCCAACAAAACCAAACTATTTTTCAGCACCAGCAAACTCTTACTTTGGCTCAAGCCATCTTATGATGCCATCTCCAAAGAAGAKAGGTGGGGTATTAGCAGGGGAAGAAATGTGGCTAGAAAACTCATTTGTTCTTTGTTAATAAACAGACAACACCTCTAGCTGTTAGACCATACCTTTTTCTTAAGCATCAGGTTGTATTAATTTCTGTGCATGTTACTGATGTACCAGTTGTTACTTCAGGTGCCTTTTCCTTGCTTCAGATGCTCAGGATTGGTTTCTGGCTGCAGCCTGGGGTGGGACCCGCAGCAAAGAGCCCCAGTGGCAGCCGGCAGCGGTGTCAGTGCAGAGCCCCAGCCAGGGCTGTGACAGTTGGGGCAGGGTTTGGGTCTCAGAGGTACCACTGGATGTGGTTCCGGAGTGCAAAGGGCTGGATCCCTACGGCAGCTGTCCCAGCCCATGACAAGCTCAGGCTGTAAATGCTGCCTAGCTCTAGTTCAGAGTCCAGGCAATGAGTGTCACCATTCGAAAAAGCCACTCTTTAAATGCTGGCTTCTTGTCGGTAGTGTGACAGGTCTTCATGGTGCTGGTAGATAACAAAGAAAATTGCCATCCCAACTAAACTCAAAAACGGAGCCGGGAGCTATTAGGTGAGCATTGGTGGCCCCAGCATGGGCATGCCCACAGTCTGTCATCGGTGACCAGTGACAGGACAAGGGGCAATGGGTGTAAGTTGAAACCYAGGCAGTTCCATCTCCAGRTGAGGAGGAACCTGTTTCCTGTGAGGGTGCCAGAGCCCTGGCACAGGCTGCCCAGGGATGTTGTGTAGTCTCCCTCATTGGAGATCTTCAGCCTGGATGCTGCCCTGTGCCCCGTGCTCTGGGTGTCCCTGCTGGAGCAGGGRGTTGGATTTAATGATATCCAGAGGTCCCTTCCAACCTTGAACATTCTGATTCTGCCTGTGTCCTTGTGCAGTCTCCACCTGAACTAGCCCATCCTTGACCAATGATGTTTTTAGGCACTTGAGGTCACAGAGTCTCTGTATCCCATCTCCACGTGATGGTATTTGCAGTGTTTTAGTGCTGCAGTTGCYGCCACATCTCCCTCTTCCTTTGCAAGCCAGGGCCTCAGCCCTCGTGCGCTGTGTCTCCATACGCCCCACCATGCCGCTCGCCCCCCTAGCTCTGTGCTTYTCCCTGCCGAAGCCTGTTTGGGAATGTCGGCTGGAAGTGTGGTCCCAAACTGGACATAGGGTGGAGGGCAGCCTGCAGAGCCAGCAGTAAAACTGGGATCAGCACTCGGTCTGGTCACCGTGTCTGCTTTATTTCCCACCAGCTGGGAATGTGGTGGGAAGCTCAGGAGAGAAACGAGGCTGTTAAACCAGGATCAGCACTCGCGCTGGTCACGGTGGCTGCTTTTTTCTCTATGTCTGCTTTATTCCCCGCTAGCTGGGAAYGTGGTGGGAAGCTCAGGAGAGAGACAAGGGCGTAAAGCCAGGATCAGCATTCGGGCTGCTCACGGTGGCTGCTTTATTCTCCGTGTCTGCTTTATTCCCCACTAGCTGRGAATGTGGTGGGAAGCTCAGGAGAGAGACGAGGGTGAGCGCTTGAGGTCGGGGGCTCCTTGGAGCCGCCGTGGGCGAAGGGGGCGGCCGAGGCCGGGACGTCGGCGCCCGTCTCCATCTCACCTGCTGATGCCCTTGCTCACGCTGAACACACCGGGCGGTGGGGCCTGGATTCCGTCCCTTTTTATAGTTTTAAATCCCATGATTGTTTAGTGCTAGTAGGCAGAGTGATTTATTCTACCATGGTTTCAAAAATAGTATGAAAGTCTTATTTTTGGCGTTTGCCTGCTGCTTTTATGCAAAGAGCAAAAAAAAAAAAAAAAAAAAAATAGTTCCTGAGATCTGTGTCGTGTTTTCTGGTGCATTTTTGCCTGCTGTGTCAGTCTGTCTCTTTTTTTTTTTTTCCCCCTCCCTGACTGCCCCACCCCAAATTCCTCAAAACTGTGGACAGGGAAAGGGTGTGAAGCAGGTTTATTACAGAACTGAGACAATAACTAAGGTTCGTCTGTGTTCCAGGGAGAAGAATAATAAGGCYGACCTTTGCACCACTCTGATAAATGCATTGGAATTCTCTTAATGCAGATTCAAATTAGCGGGAAAGGATAAAGAGGGCAGCCCTCTACATTTCCATGCATTAAAAGTAATTTCTGAAAGAATGTTTTAAACAATTATAAAAGTGTGTGGTACCAGGGAGTGGAAATAATACAGGATTTGTTCTTTGTGTCACAGTTATTCTGGGAAAAAAACATCAGATAATTTGGGTTGAATAAAGGAATCTTATCTTCTTGGACAAGTGTTAGTTTGCAAATATGCTTTAGAGGTTATAAATTTTATTTTATCAGATTCTTTGGTGTGTAACTTCACATGAGCTTCCTTTGTAAATTAAAGCTCAAAAGTTTTTGATTTGTTTGGTGGTCACCTCTGGAGGTAAGGGATTGTCTGGTAGGCAAAATTCATCAAATATTTGTCAGCCTTGTACATTGACTTTCATGTTTTGGATTTGCTTCCTGACCTGTTCCTTCGGTCTACTCTCTTGTTCCTACTTCCAATCTCAAGGGATATGAATGGCCCAGAAATCAGTTACGTTTGTAATTAACGTGCTCTCTGACAGAAGTAGTGGACTGTATTATCGGTCCTCCAGGCTGAGGGACAGGCTGATGTGGGTGAGCACCCTTTAATTTAGGAATTCTTAACCTTTGGACCACCAAGAGGAAGAAAATCCCTGCTTTTTAAGGGTACTGCCTGGAATATTGGTGGGGAGGTAGTACCGATCCTCCTGCCTTGTGGCTGTTGTGTTTTATTCCATGTACTTGATCAGCCAATGGATGTGCTCGCGAGGAACATAGAAGATAAAATGATTATTTTTATTCATGTATATGTATTATCTTAGAAGTACAGTGCTTTAGACATACCAAGAGATTCCAATGTGCATTTTCTCCCTCTCTCTTGCCATCTAGTAGAAAACCACCTCTTTTTGTTAGAAATTAAACAGGAATAGCCTTCAAGTAAATTATTAATTCCAGTTTGTAGCTTGTTAAGAATTAAGTATTTTCTCTTGCTTTCAGTTGAAGCATCTTGTCATAATGGAGATGAAACAATGGAAACAATCGAGGCTGCCGAAGCGCTTCTCAATATGGACTCCCCTGGTCCTATGCTGGATGAGAAAAGAATAAGTAATTTTTTTKTTTGTTTGTTTTGCTGGAGGTAAATCCAATCCGTGTTTGCATTGTTAATTTGTGAAAGGAGAAAGGAGTCAGTGCAGCATAGCTGCATGGAAGGGCTAAAGATATTTTGCCTCTAGACTTCACCTATGTAGTTTGAGTATCAGAAATCTAGTGGTGAAGGATTGCGTTGAGTTGGTCACCAGTGGATAAAGAAAGGCTCAAAAATCATGGAGAGAAGATGTGAATGTCATGAGGTTGCTCACACTGTTCCATTTCCTCTGGCTCTTAGACAATGAACCTTTTTACGCTGGTAAAGTAAAAGAAAATATGCCTACTTCTGCAGATTGTCTTAAATGTGAGCAAAAACATGCTATGCTATCATAATTTTGTTTTTCAGAGGAGAGGAGGAGAGTATATCATTTAATTAATTTTAATATAGCATCTGCTTGCGTAAAGTATTAAGGACTAGTTTCCCCCATGAAGGCCTCAGATATCCATGTTTTATTTATTTTAAACCTGTCCTCTGAAAACAGCTTTCTAAGGTCCTGATAGCTCTGCACAAATACTCACGTTAGGACTTTCCTTTAAGCAACCATGTTTGGTGCAACTGAAGATGAAGATATCGTGCCTCCTATTACCCATGTATCGGTCACACTGGACGGGATCCCCGAGGTGGTGGAAGTTCACCAGACCCCCGATCCCTACGCCGAGTCACCGGAGACTCCGGAATATGAGCAGCCAAAGAAGAAGAAAGGTAGGACACTCTGTAAGAGCAGAGGTGTGGAATAAGAGGGCACTTGGTGGCCCTTGTGTCTCCTGGTGAGTATTTGCAGTCGCTGTGGACGCGGTGTCCAAAGGAGGCCTCAGCTGGAGGTGCAGAGAGAGCTTTTCTTTGCTGGTGCCGTGAGCCGAGCCGCCCGCTGTTGCTGCCGGTGCCTCAGAGGTAGCAGTGACCGCTTATCTCGCAGGAAACACGGGGCTCTGCTCTGCCCTATTTATAGCTGCTGCCTGGGAGCAGAACTGCCCTGCGAGCTGCGGAGCTTTTGTTCCTGTGAGCGCTGTTGTTGTGGTGCATCCTAAGTAGCATCTGCTCAGCTTCGGCTACGATATTTGCTCCATTGGGAATATGGACAGAGAGCCGGGGGGTTGTTTGCCTGTTCTTTCTGAGGATCTGAACATGGCCTGCTTAAACTCTTTTTTTTTTTTTTTTTTTTTTTTTTTTTTTTTTTTTTTAAGTTATAATAAGTGTTAGCATCATTTGCAGTAATTAACATTTACCTAGTGGGCTGAAGCCCTGTCCTCTGAGCGATGTTCCATTCTTTCCTGGTTTTACTATCCTGCTTCAGTGTGGACTCTTTCAGCAGCCCTGAGGTTGGTGTTTTCCTCACAAAATCTTGGAATGCAGCCAAGGTAGGGTGCTGCTGCAGCAAATAAAAACGGAGAAGTTGGGGCTGGGGAAAGAAAGGACGTTTCCAGAGCTGATCCTAGGGCTGAATCTGATCATTCGAGCTTTGAATGTTCCCTGGGGAAAAGTCACTTCCAGAACAGGGTTTTCTACTACCCTGTCATACCCCTCTGAAAGAAACTGCGTTCTGGCTCATAGTGAAATGATGCAACTCCCACATTTTGGAAGCAGCTTTCTGGGAAGGAGAGCCTGCGGGCCTGTGCAAACGCAGCAGCGGCTGCGTGGAGCGCGTGCGTCACGAGCGCTGCGAGGGAAGGGTGCGGATGGAGCGCCCTGGTTCCCGTCAAAACCTGAACCGAAACCGCCGTGGAGGAGGCCTTGAGCAGCAGCCGCCCTGCGCAGCGCCGCGGCAAAACCCAGCTCAGGAAGATCTTATTCTAATGTCTTGTTTTCTTCTCCTTACTGTTGGCTGCTGTGTGGGTCGAAACAAGGAGCCTGTGTGTGTCGGGCGCTCAACCTCTGCTCGTCTCGACGCTTCTTCTCCTCCGTTGATGTTCATCTGCGCCCTCCCACTCCTTCCTCCTCCCTTGCTGTGGGTTGGGCAGTCGGTTGTTCCACGGCAAACGTGGTTGTGTTAGACAGGCGTGAGCAGAGAACGTGCTCAAACAGACGTGCCACCTTCTTGTCTCATTAACAACCAGCTTTTAATGAAACTGAGGCTTCGTGAGGGCTTCGTGAGCTCCATGGTCTGAATCATGCTCAAGTGCCGTTTCAAAACGTGCAGGGATCTTGTAAGACATTTTAAAAGCATTTGTGTTCTCAGCGATTGCAAAAGGTTATTAATTCTGTAGAGCACTTCAGGATGACCCATTTGTGTCTGTGTTTGTGCAATCTGTTCCTCTTCCTCTGGCAGCTATGTGGCAAAGCAAAGAGCTTTCAGAGGGCTGGAACTGGAGCTGCTCCCCGTCCCCTGTGTTTATTGGGGTAGTTCCTATACGCTTGCTGGTATGGGGTGTCCTATGCACTTTCTCTTTGGGATGTTCTTACCAACAAAACTCCGTCTCCTGGAGGTCCGCTGCAGGACAGCACCCTGCAGCAAAAGGACTTAGACCTCTCTGCTGTGTCCCATTAAAGGCCAGTCTTCCCAATGTGCCCAATGCAGATGCCGTGGGGAGGATGACTGCGCAAGTGGGACTTGTGCAGGAGTGGGATTCCCAGGAATCCGCGCGGAAGCCCCAAGGATTTGGGGTTAGGGGCTCCCAGGGCCAGCCATGGTATCTTTGTATTCAGGAACCCGTTGGTTTCCCTCTCATGAGCTTACTCGGGTATCCATTAAGGCCATGAAGGCTTTTTGCAACCAAACAGCCAGGGGCAGCCTGCAGTTCCATGTTGGTGCCACGCTGCCTGCTTGCCAGCTTGTTCCCATTTCTCTGCATTTCCTCTCAGTTTTGGACAGTAGTTGACTTGTGGTCTTTTCATCCTCTTCATTCCTATCTCTTAAAACAGAAAAGCGTGAGCTGTCTATAATCACAGAAACCCCACATCAGCTTTGCTCAAGCACAAAGTTCATCCTTCCTCTTTGTAGAATTCTCTCCTAAAAAGGAATTTAGTAACGAGCTCTGAACTATAACAAATTCACACTCTGTTGAACCAAAGGAGGAAGCGTGCTAAAGCACGATGATCTTAAATATCTTGGGTCTAGCTGTAGCACAGTAGCATCAACACTTTCCTCTGAAGAAATTCTTCACTGCTTTTGATTTTTGGATAGGTTTGTGGTAGAGCACAGTGCAAAAAAGATCATCTTGTAGTAGCTTAGGTTGAGATAAGAGAACCTTGTGTTGCTGTAGCACTCGTATGTATCTTTAGTAGCCTAGGTTATGAGAAATGCGTAAATTGTGTATGCTCAATGCTTGTGTTTCCTCAAGTTGATCAGCAGGAGTTCAGTCATGACTTAGCTGAGCATTGAAAATGAACATTTTCATTTAAAACCTGGTCTTATTTGAGGACTTTATTACTCTTTGGAGCCCTTTATTCCTCTCTTATTCCCTTTTATTCCTCTTTTGCCTTATTCTTCTGATTTAACATGGAGCTGGTAGCGTGAGGGCACCGAGACTGCTGCAGCCTATGGCCCCTCAGTGCTTAGTGTGAGTCTCTGTGCTGTGAGGAGAGGGAGCCAGGTGAGCACCCAGCAGAGACCTGACACATATAGGGGGAGAAGGGACCTGCCAAAGCTACGGCTGGTGCAGCAGAGTCTRGCTGCACGGCGTGGTCAGCGCTGCGGGGCATCACAGGCAGTTTTGCCACCCATAATTGTCAGCAGAAGAGGAGAGAGCTCAAAACGTGCTCCAGGAGCTCTGAGCCTTTCCATATGGAYGTGTATGTCAGAAGCAATATTGGAGGATTCCCTTCCTCCCGTCTTTATGCAGGTTGAGAAGGATATTGGCCAAGATGATGGGTAACCTCTGTGTCAACCTCAGGTACGAACCCTTATGAGAATTCCTCACTCCCACTGCCTCGACTAGTGATTTTTACCTTCAGAGAGAAAGAGAGAAAATGTGGGGAGTGAATAAAGGGGGGATGAGAGAGAAACGAAGGGAAGGGGAGAAGAAGAAACGTGTGCAAAAGTAAACTTAGCAAGACTTGATATCAAAAGGTGAGTGCTCAGCCTCTCTTCCTTATCACCACCTAGAAGGGATGTGGAAGTCTACAACAAAACAGGCACCACTGGGGGGATTGAGCATTTTTATGCAGCTATATGGTGATTCCTCACTCTGCAGTGGGTATTTGTTTGAAGGTAGCCCCTACACACTAAATTAGAACTGGAACATCATTGTGCATGGGACTGTACATATGTACTCTTGGTCTTGGCTCTGTTTAACATAAATTCTTTGGAAACACAATAAAAAATAGAAGTACTTTTCTTCAGGTCTTTGGCTGTGACTTTGGGATGCTTGGACTAGAAGTGTGCTTCTCAGAGCCCTATGTTTGGTCTGTTCTACCTCTCAAAAGAGAGGCAGTATGTGAATAATCCCTATATTGTCAAGAAATTAATGGGTCTCTGCAGGAGGAATAAGGGGTCTCTGATAAGAGGGATATTTGTCCCACAAGTAAATTCTGAAGGTTTCTGATTAATTACAAAACTTGTAAAAGCTGACGTTGAGGCGGCTGAGGATTAGAAAGAAAAAGGCTCAGGATTTTAAACTGAAAATGCTTCAGCATGACGTATGTTTTTTAACACCCCTTGTGTTTAGATAGCTGTTTTCTCTTCACTTTCAAATGAATGCTTTTCATTCTTTTCCACAGTTGTAACTCTTCTTTTGTCCATTCTTCCTTACCAGATATGGACACTGTGTTTATGTCTTTAATTTTTTTTTTTTTCAGAGCCTGACATGAATTCTATTGGACTTAAATTTAAATATATAAATATTAAAAATACTGTTTTCTTTCCTGTACTTCCAGCCACTTTGATAAAGGTGAAAGAGTAAGACTAAAATGTTTTCTTCATGTAGCAGTATAGCTTGCTGCTATCAGTAGGGAATTTCTGTCTTCTAAACAACCCGAGAACCTTGTTTTATCCCAACATCCATTTTGGGGATGCCTAAGCAAGATAGGGCTCTGCTCTTTATCTAGGTTTTCCTGTTGAAATCTTTTCTCACACACTAGACAAAGTACTCTTTCCAGCTTTACTGCTGTAGGAATTGAAAAGCTTAGGCCAGAACTGTGTCTTAAATTTGTATTAATATAGCCATACCTTGATGGGGTTAAGAGGTTAAATGCTCCCTGAATTGAGGAAGCGAATCTCTTCCTTTTTTAAGGGTTTTTTTTTCTGATTTTTTTCTTCAGGGAAGAAACCAAAGCCTCCTCGTCCCGAGTCCCCTACTACAACACCTAACATATCTGTGAAAAGGAAAAACAAAGATGGAAAGGGTAAGTCCAATAGTTGTCTTTCATATTAAAAAAATAGTTTTTTAAGAGGTTATTGTTTGTAAGTAACCTTTAGAAAGAAAAACCTTCACCCCCTTCCCAGAGGCTGCCATGCTTCAAGTGGAGTTTTGTGGAGTGCTTTGCGTTGTATTAGCCTCTTTTGGGGGATGTGGTTAGTTTGACAGCCAATATTGGAAAACGTTTCCCATCTGTCTGTGTCTGAGGAGATAACCAAGCTGCAAGTTGGACAGCAGGATACCCTTAATTTTTAGGGAAAGTTGTGAGCAACTAGAAAACTTGGGCAGCTTGAGATCCTTGATAGTCCCTTCATTCCTCACGTGTTCAAAAAGAAAACTAAATATCACATAACTGGCACAATAAATAATTCCTTGTGGGCTGAGCTGCTCCCATGGGATGCTCTGCACCCAGGCTGGTGCAGAGGCTGCTTTGGGTGGCTGCCCTGGCTCCCCCACGTTGGGTGGGAGCCTCTCGTGTCACCTGCCCTGCTCTGCTGCCACGGCACAGGCCCGGCAGCACCCGCGCGGCGCCGTCTCGCACTCAGCAAAACTGGCGTCTTCTGCAGCAGCAGCAGCAAGAACAACAAAAATAGCTATTTATGAAGTTACTGTCGGAAGTTTGGAGTGCGTATTGTTAGATTTTTTTTCCCCTCTCCATTAAAACCCTGATTTTTGAATCAAAATGAAAGAAAAGATGGTGCCAGAGSAACACCTAAGTAATAGTTGAATGAAATAATATATTAAAAAAAAAGATCTAGCTAGCAAAATAGCTAGAAAGTTATCAAAATATCTAGTTCAAAGACAGAAGAATGTTTCAGTGGATGAAGGCAGAGGATTCAYGATAATGTTTCGTATTTGCCATTAATACAAAATTACAAATTCACAAGGAATTGAAAAGGACTGTGTTGCTGACACCACTGCCTGTTCCAGAAAAAGCTACCACAAAAGGGTTAGTTTAGCATTTTGAGGAACACAGAATTAACGTAAAAGGGATATTAGTGCAACCACTTGTGGAACTGAAGCAGCTGGCAGGTTGTATGAGTTGACTGTTAATTCATAGCATTAGCCATAGGGAAAACATGTATTCTAAAATAGCATTTTTTGATGTAATTATATTATGCAGTGCATAAAAAACCCTGATTTTTCTACCTAATACTTTTTCTGTGATTCACAGAGGTGACAACATTGTTGGTCTTTGAGTAAAAACATTGTTTTTGCAGACAGTCCTTTTCGTAATGATTTTTCAATAGCTAAACAGTGACAAGTTTCTAGACTTGTCTGGATGCAGTTGAGCATTTTCAGTCTAGACTGCAACAAAAGCACCCTGGATTAGATGATAAGCGGCTGGGAATGCCCACGTTCCTGACTGGACTTGTATCTTAGCCAAGCAGCCTTAACCTTTTCCTTCAGGGTGTCCTGAAGCAAAGGATCTGACATTCCTATTCCAGCTGGAAGGCACTTGGTGCAAAGCCAGTGGTTTTTTTTCCCCTGGAGATGTTCACTTTTCAAGTTCCCACCTTCTGAAGGAGCTGTTAACATTTCTTCATCGCCAAATACTTCAGCAAAATCCCATTATAAAAGTACTCMCRWGKCATCTCCAAAACTTTAGGCAAATGTTTGTTTTTCTCCATTGGAACCGACTGACTCAGAGGGAGTGCYCGATGCAGTGGACAACGATCTAACATCATAATATAATGACATAGRAGTGTTAAGAATCTGTAGGGCTACTTGCCTAGTTTAAAAAAGTGCAGACTTGAAGCCACTGAAATTTGGAAGATTGGAGAGTAAAATTGAAGGCAACTGAGACTGTCAGTGGGCACCATGTGTGTGAACCTGAGGAAGTCTGTGTGTGCCATCCATCCTGTGCTTGCTCKGTCATTGCTTGTGTGAGGAGACACRGCCGTACTAGAAGTTTGCTTCCTTTTTCAGACTAACAGTGTATTACTCAGAAGCTTGTATATGGCTTCAAGGGTCCAAAAGCACATCGGACACTGCAAGTCAGAAAAAAACAGGAGTAAGAATCTCAATAGTTACCTGCGTTTTTACTCCTTAAATGCATTTTTTGGGGAGAAGAAGTGTAATTTTTGTAGTGATTTTAAGCATTCATAATCTGATTTTTAATAGCCTCATTTTTTGGTGAGGCTAACACTGAACAGATGCATTGTATTTTCGTATGTGTTTGTATTCACTTACTTGTAAAATGAAGTTTGGATTTTTCTGCCAACTCATTTGGGCTGGAAAGAAAAAAAAAAAATGTTCTGAACATTGCTGTTGAAGGTCTGTCTACCTCAACATGTACTATTGGTTATCACATATAAAACCTGTTGTTAAAARTAAGGATTTTATTTATCCTCTTAAAGGACTGTAACAGCCAACTCAGTTCAGCAAAGTGTTTAATTTGTAGTAGTTTCAGAAGAGGACCACAAACATGTTCCTGTTCCAGGTACAGTAGTAATGACTGCTCCTGTAGCTAGGCTAGGCAGGAGGGAAGAGTACGAGTAGGTGATTAATGCTGTGTTATATTGGTGGTTTGCATGGTCTGGCTCTTAATGTTATTGATATTGGCTATGGCATTTGGACACCCAGATTGAAATATTTAACAATAATAACATCCCAAGCCCTTCAGTCAGTTGTTAGCAGTTACTTAGTTGTTAGTCTCAATCATATATTAGGAAGTATTCATAAAGATACCAGCTTCTTGACCTTTAGATTATTTGCAACATTAATAAAATATAGTCAACTAATATAATATCTGTGCCCTGAAATACTTTTTTTTTTCTTTTTTAGGAAATACAATTTATCTCTGGGAGTTTTTGCTAGCACTGCTTCAGGACAAAGCTACGTGTCCTAAATATATCAAATGGACTCAAAGAGAGAAGGGCATTTTCAAACTGGTAGATTCCAAGGCTGTGTCCAGGTTGTGGGGAAAACATAAAAACAAACCTGACATGAATTAYGAAACAATGGGTAGAGCTCTCAGGTAGGCATTTTTTAATCACACACTGTTTTTTGTTGTTTTAGTGTTTGGGTGTATTAAATGGCTCATTTAATTTTGTTTAACAACAGTGAGGAGTTAGTATTCTGTCAGCTTGGGAAACAGAGAAGTTATTTTAGGAAAACAAATAAGCTAATTAAGAGTAACCTGCAGCTAAAAATCAGTCATCCCCTGTATCAACTTGGACATTTTCTTTGCTGTTGCAAAAACTGCTTCTTCAGTCACCAACAGACAAGCGTGGCAGGTGTTTCTGTAAAGATGGAATGTCTCTATTTCACACAATCCTAAATTTAGGTATATTAGAGCTAGTGAAATGATCTCTTCCTGTGGCAAATGATCCAGTTGCTGTTGGGAGACTTGATTTTGGAATTTGGATCTGCGTGTGCTTGTGAGTACAGRCAGTTTAAAAGCATCTTAGTGTTATCTCTGCCTATCAAATTGGGATGTTTATTATACAGAAAAGGTAGTGCAAAAGAAGCAGACATCCATGAGCATGACTGACAAGCTTCARTCTTTCCCTACTGCCTGATACTCTGGATGAACAGCTGCATTTTTCTCTTATTTTCCTTCCTCCCTCACCTTGGTGTCAACAACACCGTTTTAAATTGTCCTATTAGTTGGTAGAAGTGCTGACCTGTTCCTTTTACTTTCCTGTAGTAAAATGGTCTGTGTTTGCTCATTGGTGAATAAGCATGAATTCAGGTAACTACCAAACCGTGTGACTTGGGGACAATTTGAAGTTAAAAAGTATTAGTTGGCAGGAATGCCAAGTCACTGAGTTGTTCTCCTTGTAGTGATACTTGAAGTTAAAATGAGAGGGCTGCAGGAAATGCCAGTAGAAGAAAAATGGAGAGAGCAAAATGTACTGTTTAAGTTGAGCACTCCTTTGTAACCAAGAAAATAGGCATAATATTTAAAATGAAACCCTGAGCCTGCACACCTACCTCTGCTGCTCGTCTGGTCTGTTTTTGGTGGTTGTTGTTTTGGCAAGAACACTGCATAACTTGTTGATTTATGTGTGCTTTAACCAGATACTATTACCAAAGAGGAATACTGGCTAAAGTAGAAGGTCAGCGCCTTGTGTATCAATTTAAAGAAATGCCAAAAGATCTCGTCTATATAGATGATGAGGATGCAAGTCCTAGCACTGAATCGTCGGATTCGACTTTGCTCTCAACTCCCGCGGCCAACAGAAACCAGTCGAGCAGATCGAGGGCGTCTGCAAACGTGGGAACCAAGGCGGGAGCCACCCCCGTTTCGAAGGCCGGCAGCGCCAAGGCTGCCAGGCCCAAGGAGCCCGCGGAGGCGGCGCGGGCGCAGGCGCCCGGCGTGGCGCCCGACGGCGCCAGGACAGTGCAGCCGCCGCAGGCCGTGTTCCCCACGCAGCTCTTTCGGACAGTTCACGTCATGCAGCCCTTGCAGGCCCTCACGGAGGGACACGCAGCTGTGACCAGGAGCGTTCCCGAGGAGACGTTAAACCCCTCGGTGCAGAACATGAGGTAAGAAAGGGTAAGGAAAACTGGTGTGTGAACAGCAGTAAATCCACTCGATCATGGCCAGATACACTAGTTTTTTGGTTACACTTCAAAAATGCTCATCTCCTAATTCAGTTCTGGTGAAATGACTCATAGTGAGTGACCTGGAAACTGTCTTCTTCTTCTTCGTCGTCTTCTTCGTCGTCTTCTTCGTCGTCTTCTTCGTCGTCTTCTTCGTCGTCTTCGTCTTCTTCTTCGTCTTCTTCTTCGTCTTCTTCTTCGTCTTCTTCTTCGTCTTCTTCTTCGTCTTCTTCGTCTTCTTCTTCGTCTTCTTCTTCGTCTTCTTCTTACATTGCAATACCTACACTCAGATCTTTGGTGGAGGGAAGCACATCTTTCCTGCAGCACTAGGGCAGAGAAAAGCCTTTTCTTTTAAAGTTAGTACTCCCAATTCTATCATTCAGCACTGGCAGTATTTTCATGACTGCTTCTTCATTAAACGATCTCTTCACTGTTGAGTTACATGTGGTGTACCTGCTTGATCTCTTCAAAAAAGTTCTTTGGCCTTGTTTCTTATTTTTYCTTCTTACAAATTCTTGTCATCTCTGTCATCTTATGAAAGCTCCATGTAGCGTTTTGCTCTCATTATGAGAGCATGTTCTTCTGATTTTTAGAAAACATTTATCAGAGTAACCTTGTAGGAGTTTTGTATCCGTAAACTGTTATGGGAGTCAATCACACTTCCAAGCTTAATTTTTAAGTCAGCTAATTAGCACTGTGCAGCATCTAAGCATCAATAGTCCCTTGCACCTTCAAGTTGTGAGCATAATCCTAACTAAAGAGATTTTAGAAGGAAACCCCTAAATCTGGGTTTACTCTGGTCAGCTCTAGGCACTTAGCTGAGCTGTTCCTGACAGAGCAGCTTTGTCTTCCCAAGTGCAAAGGATCTGAATTCTTGTAATTCAGCAACTTTATGGGGAGGTTTGAGTTGTGCCTGATGATTCTGGACCTCAAAGCTGTTTCGCGAAAGCCTCAAAAACACTGAATTATCAGCAGCACTCTTGAGATTTGCTCTTTTAAGTTCAATGTTCTAACATTTCTTATTTTGTGATACAAGAGGGCAGTAGTGCTGCTTCCTGCTCCCTGCCTTGCTCGTGCCTTGGAAAATGGTATCGAGTCAGCGATGAGATGAGGCCGTGAGTGGCACTCCGGGGTTAGCCTGGGAATTCTGTCAGCGAGAAATGGGATATTAATCACATTGAGTCAGTCCTTGGCCTCCAAAAATCCCTTTTGCTTTCTCCTCTCTGCTGCTAGAGGACTAGTATAAAATTCAATCATTAATAGAACTCCACTTATCTTAAAAGGAAGAGGATTAAGGAAAATTCAAAACAGCAAAGACAGTCGTATTTTTAAGTAATGGTAACTAAAAAGCTTAGATCAGTTTTCACGAGCAGATTTCATAGGACAAATTGGAAAGTCTTATACCATAAAACAGTTCAAGAAACTGAAGTTTTACTTGTGCATGTAGAGGGGTGAGAAACCAAGACTTCACCTTCACACAAAATCCACCTTCCCCGCCAGAAAACCCGGCTTGTTCCTTGGTATGAATGATAATAGTTTTAAAATTATCCCTGGACTTTCTAGTTTGAATCCTTATGTCTTTTTAATTTCGTTAAGAAAATACAACATGTTCTTACTCGCTTTGCATTGTGAAAGATTCATTTAGGAAAGAGAAATTCACTGACTAAAAAAGTGAATTTATTTATTGGGGAAATAAATAAATTAAGCCGAGAAAGAAAAATATTTTCTCATACACAGATAAGCACCAGAAAAACAAACAGGAAAAAATTAACACCTGTAACCAGAAAATTACTATTCTAATTTGTCCTTTAATTCTAAATGATTATTTATTTTTGAAACGAAATTGTGTTTTCCTGATTATTCTAATCAACTGGAGTTGTATATGTATAGGATGGAAAGTTTTTATTTTTTCAGAAGTCAGTTAAATATTTTTCCATAAGTATGAAAAAAATAGTAGAATACAGAAATGGAAAATAGAGAATTAAATGATAAAAAGCTCTGCATGGTGTGTCCTTAAATAAGATTTAAAACCTACGAAGGAAGCCACCTAATACGGTGCAATCTTATGATTTCAAGGTTGGTGAAAGATTTAATTATCTGTAAGTTGTAAAAAAGTGTCTAGGGTCATAAAGAGAAAGGAAATCAGTAAAGACATAATTGAAGCTATGCAATAACATTTAAGGCAGGAGAATAATGTTGTTACATACCAGTCGGTGGAGAGTTGGGCACTTTACAGAGTTGAATGGCCCCGGGCTAGATCTCGGCTAGATTATATATCAGAAACAGTATCAACAGTATAAAAGCTATTACAATGATAACAGCAAGTAGAATATCTGTAATGCCTATTAAGGCAGGCTGGCCAGCAGTCCATCCTCACRTTTGGGAGACTGCACAAGGATATTATGGCATCCTCTTGCACTGCAATATTTCACAGTCAGACTGTGAGCGTAAACTAAGGGGGAAAAAAAGGAGTAGAGATGACACTTGTGTGCAGTTTCAATGAAAGAAGAGCACTAAAAACTTAGAATTCTGTATCGCATTGTATCGTATTGTAAACTGCTTACATTAAGACATTAAATGTTTTTCTGTGAAGTCTTCAATTTTTCCTAGCTGTGATGACAAAGAACCTCAGCTAGATGAACAGAACCAGAGCAGATGCAGCCCAAGCTGTCGCTGAGCCCTCTGCAGTCATTCCCCATTGATGCATCGTGCAGTGCATTTGTGCTGGGCATATTTCTGTTCAGATACAAAATCTAAGTTTCAAATACTTTGGTCAGGCAGCAAGACCTGTTTAACACTTTCTAAAACATGCGTTTTAGGCCTGGTTTATAAAGCAGCTAAAGCAAAGGAATTGTGATTTGGTTTTGCTTGTCCAAGCAGCAATGTAGCAGTTGTATGAGACTGCCTTAATGTTGTACCTCGCCTCCGTGGAGCCTCCCATAAAGGATGAAGTGAAACAGAGCAGGGTTTAAAGCACAGAGCAGGGTTGGTTGCCATTCTTGGTGAACGGCAGGCCRACCTTCTGGTGTGTGCACACCATAGGGATGTGCTTGAAGAAACTGCACGGTGGTTTTTCTAAGGAAGCAGAAGGAAGAACAGGAGCACTGGAATATGCCAGTAGCTCTGGAGAGGCACTGCATGAGGTCATTTGGGAAAAAAGGCAGGTTTGGGAAGCATTCCTCAGGAGAATCTGCTTTCTGGCTGTTTCTGACGTACTGGTTAGTGGTCGGGCTGTGCCTGGACACATGGGTGCCTCGGTGCCAGATAATTTCTTACACAAAGTAATTTTACATAAGGTAACTTCTTTTTTTTTTTAAAAAAAAAAAAAGCTATATTCATATAAATGTTCACCTCTGTTCTTGATGAAGATATTTTTCTCTGCAGTGGTTTCCTTCCATAGTGTTGCAAGAGGAAAAAAATCATGTGATTGATTACAGATTATAGAAAAACTATTGAGGGTTTTTGAGATTAAAACAATTAGATTCATAACATTTGCAATATCCTTCAGAGAGAAGTCTAAACAGGCATGTTCTATGCTAAGATACTTGTTAAAAGAATTGTATTTGAAGAATGCTGTGAAAGGTGTTATGTATCGATATTGATACCCCTTTCTCTGCAAGGYGGTGTGTTGGTGTATTCCTCTMCCTAGAACGTCGCTGGGAGACTGTRACATCCAGGGCCTCTTCTGGGTGCTTTGGCACCTTCTTCTAGGGCCTCTTGGGCTTCCTTTTTTGTTGTTGTTTTTCTTTTTTTAAATAAATTGTGAATGAGAATGACAATAAGGAGCTGCATCTTTGCAGGTTACTGAGGGTGGTTTAATTTATAACTCAATAAATCTCATGAAGACTCTAGTGTGATTTTAGTGTGAGGTCAGCAGACAGCAGCTCCTCCCGCCTGCTTCGCAGCGGCCCTGCCGGAGACGTGGGGCTCGTGAGCTCCGAGCTGGTGCCTTCCTGCTCTCCAGGCTTTTGTGTGATCGTAGCTGCCGGCTGGAGCGCTGCCTCGAGGACAAGGCCGGCTCCAGCCGTCCACGGGCTGTTACGTGCAAAGCACCGCTGTGGTTTTGGCTCTGAGCCCGTCACAGGACCAGCATCCTGGTTGTGTCCTGTAGCTAGGGAAGGACGCGGGCAGATGGCAGAGGACCTGGGGTATCCAGTGCTCACTTTGAGCTGGGAAACCACCGCGTGATGACTCGCACGCAGCTTCCACCTKACCCTCTGAGGTAGAAAACATTGCAGTAATTCATCCTAGGGCTGCAGCAGCAAGATCCTCATTTCAGAGAAGGAATGGRCTGCACATGAATCATGGGGCTTTTTTGGTGTTTTGTTTTGCTTTCTGTCAGCAACATATGGGTGGGGTGGATTGTCCTGGTAATTCCAGGAATGTCCGGGGAATTACCTGAGTAATTAATGACCTGAGTGTGGTGCCTGCCCCACACACACACACGTGTGCTTTCTGCTGTCATTCCATGGCCAGCGGGTGGACAGGGCTGTGCCCAGGCTGTGGTATAGCCTGAGTGTGGGTCATACATCTCCAGCTAGTCTGACACTGAAAAATACACAGATTTGTCAGGTGTGCATTTACCAGCAAGCACACATGCGCAAAAAAAAGTGATTAACTTGTGTAAGCTGTGCAGTGAATGTCATTGTTGTGGTCTCTATTAAAATTAACGCARTTAATCAGTATTTTGCATCCCAACTCTATACCCTTTTCCTATGTGTGCATAGCCACGCGAAGACAGGGATTAGCCTGGCCCYGTTCTACCCAGGTTTTTGCATTAACCATTTGCTGCTGATGTTCAGTGCTTCCCCTTGCCCCACAATAAGAAAAGGAGGTTCAGATCTTCGTGCCATCAGTTCGTGTGGCAGCCGGGGCTCCTCTGCCCTTCTTACAGGTGTGTGGACAAGCCTTAGCGCGGCCGGCAGCCTCGGTAGGGCTCTCTGGGCCTGAGGGCAGAGCGGGAGCAACGTGAGCTGAACGCAAGGCCAGCAGGGCCTCCCGTGACCGGCGACTGCTGCCCTGAGCAGGCCCCGGCACAGAGGCCCTGCTTGGAGGTCACTGTGCTTGCAGCTCCCTGCGTTTGCAGGTCGCTGTGTTGGCAGCTCACGGGGAGACTTGTGAGTGCAGCCGGTTGGTGGCTCTAGGCTCCCAGGGAAGGCAGCGCTAGAAGGTCCCTCAGTGCTCTGGCCAGGTTCTCGCTGGGGGATCTCACTTGGTGCTGCAGGGGCCTTCCCTGCAGGGGAGGGGTTGCAGGGAAGAGTTGAGCTCTGAGCTCCTTGAAGCGATGGCTGTGCTGCTTCCCAGGCCTGAGGAACGTGAGGAAAACGCCCTTCCTGAGGAGGAGTTCCTCAGAAATGGGCTGCTGTGACCTTGGCGTCCATGGGAAGCGCTCGTGCTTACGAAGGGCTGCGTTTCTCAGGACRCTGTTACGGTACAGTCAGCTCCTGTCAAGTAAAAAGCTTTCAATTTGATTTTCCTGCAACTGAGAAGAGTCGTTCCTGGTTTTCTGAATGAGCTTCTGCAGGAGGTAGGAATAAAGCAGGAGGGACTTAAAATCATGTAGACCAATTTATTTTGCTTCCATTCAGTAAGAAACTGTCTGCAAGGGCTGTCTTTAGATACAGATTCGTATGTCTGTATTTGTCTCTGCGGAAAGAGGTGAGGTTTCTGCAGCTTTCTCTAAGTAGCACAGGTTAAGAGGGTTTTCAGGTGACTGTGTCATAATGTAAAACTGTGGAAAGAGGGCCMTGTAGACCCCCAGGGTCAGTAAAAATGACATCAGACTTGAGAGTTCAGTCCTCTATCTGCATCTTATTGGCAGTGTGGGTACAAGTTGAAACCCAGGCAGTTCCATCTCCATGTGAGGAGGAACTTCTTTCCTGTGAGGGTGACAGAGCCCTGGCACAGGCTGCCCAGGGAGGCTGTGGAGTCTCCTTCTCTGGAGATCTCCCAAACCCGCCTGGATGCCGCCCTGTGCCCCGTGCTCTGGGTGTCCCTGCTGGAGCAGGAAGGTTGGACTGGATGATCTCTAGAGGTCTCTTCCAACCTCAGCCAGTCTGTGGTCCTGTGATCTTCATGACATAAATAATTATCTTGTCTGTGTGGAGAACTTGACTTCTTGACTAGCTCTTTCCTCCTTTAGGAAGAGGCTACGTGAAGGTTTTGCGTTAAATCTTCAAGTCCCCGTCTACATCTTGCAGGCCTCTGTAGCCCGACCCGTTAGCAGCTCCCACACGCAAATCCTGCACCGTAAAGTGCCTCTGGTTGCGATGTGTTGGGATGAGCACTGACACCCTGATTGGCAGCCCTCTGAGGATCAGATAAGTGAGGGCAATTGTGGCTTGCAGAGCTCAAAGAGCTGCCCTGAGATGTGTTGAGCTGGTGCCTCCTCAAGGCACTTGAGAGTCGCCTCTTCACGGGGGCATTGGAAGCGGTTCTGGGGAGCACCCCCCTCCCTTCACCCCCCTGGCTCCTCTGGGTGGATTGAATGAGATGTTTGTAACCAGTTACTTGAACAACTCGGGAAAGTCCCTGGAAATCTGCCCGGTTGTGACTAGGCCAACGTTTCCCCTCTAGTTGAGATGGAATAGGTGTGTTGGTGAAGGAAATTTCCTTCTGTTGCCTCTCCCTATGTAATTCTTAATACTGTCGTGTTTCATTTGCTTGTTGTGCTGTGAAATATTTTATTTGCCTTGGCTTGTAGCTTTACTTTGTAGCTTTTCTCATCTTTTCTCAACTTCAGGGGTTTCACAAATAAATTGACACAAATGAACTTGCKTTCTCTACCTGCCAGCTAGTATTTGCTTTATCCCTGTTCACTTCATGATGAGCTAATGTGATGTTGCACAGTTTTAGACTAGCAATGGGACCAAATGAACTAAGAAATAAATTTTTATCATTTTCTGACAGGCTAAAATGACTTTACAGTTTTTGTCATTGTTTTCCCAGTAGCAAACAGCCTGTTCAGTGGCAGCATTTTGTCAGTGTTGCTTAATATTATTCTTCCTTTTGGAACTTCAAGAGGCCCTTCTAAAGCAACACCCAACAAGTGTGTTTGAGTAGGCAAGGGTGCTAGTGAATTGACAGTGCAATTCAGAAGTGTAGCAAAACAGGCATTTAAAAGCATCTAAAATAACCTAGGCCAGCAATTACAAATGATCTGGAGTGGCAGGCATCTTATTTTTGGTAAASCATTCAAATAAAAAGATTAGCCATGGAATACCCATATATATAYACATATATTTCAATTATATTCAAGGCAAATAGTCTGAGGGACTAAATTTCAGTTCACGAACAGACACTGTTGTCTTGATGTTGCCAGTTGAGCCAACAATTTCTGTTTGGAGCTTCCTGACTGGAAGCGACAGCTCCTTTATGGTCTGGATGCGGCTTAACCCCGTGCTTGTGCAGCRCTCCCCGCCATATGGCTCCCCCCGAGCCAGGAAGCGAGCAAATACCATATGTGTTTCCACCGAGGGAGAAAACAAAGCATCTGGAATAAAATATTACTCACCGTATGACGTGCAGGTACAGGTTTTGCCTTAGTGAGAAGTAAAATGGTTCAAGATCGACACCCGGGTGGTTATTGCTGCGTGCTGGGGCGAGCGCCTTGGCTCCAAGTGCTCTTGGAGCTGCTCTTAGCTGGGCTTTGCTCTCTGCACTCATTACATCCAGGTCCTGTTTTGAGGTTGTTTGCAGCCACAACTGCTGCTAGGGCTGCTTATTTTTCATTGTTTTACTTTTAAACAAAGCAGCTGAAGAGCAAGAGAGTAGCTCATAGCAGTAACTCGCACGGTGTGCCGGCATGAGCTGGCAGCTTCAGCCACTGCTTTTTTCTGTTCAGAAGCTGTTAAATCCTTCAGCCACAAATCGGTGCTTTGTGGATTAAGGAGCTGCCCCCTCTCTTGCTCGGATGCTTTGAAGGCTTCCCTGAGGTCATGTGTCAAGAGCTTTTCAATTAAGGGTCCTTAGCTGGTCCCCAGGGACTTTCATGGGTTGTTTGGACTGTATCTTGTGACATGTTGATTTTACAGCCATTTTCTTCAACTGTAGGTAGTTCACATTGTTTTGAAAAGCCAGTGGCATCTTTCTGCAGTAACACGTGGGTGTTTGTGCCCGTCTGTCTTTTTTCTATCAGACTCCAAGGGGAATTATTTAAAAATAAGCATATAGGCCTGGTGCTGCTGTCACTGCAAGCCCCATTGCTCGTGTGTCCTGTGCAGCACCTGCTTCAGCCTGGGCACGAAATCCAGAGGTTGGAGAGAAAGAAGTGGTCACTGTATTCCCAGTCAGCCTGTTTCCATGAGCATTTTCCTTTGTTTCTTCCCACTATCATACTGACGCATCACCCTTTGCATCCTGAATGTTTGGATTTGTTTGGATGGGCAAGTATTTGGATTTCTTTTGCTATAAAGACATCCCTGGATACTTCTGATTTCTTTCTTATGSRGAGGAAGYTACAGAGAAGRATGGAGRGGAGAGGGAAAAAAAATTGTCAGGGGCAGCGTGGCCAGGTGGGCCGGAGCAAGCAGCCAGGGAGCAGATTTTAAACAGATTTAGCAAACTTCTAACAATGCTGATTCAGAGAAGAGGGAAAAAAAGTGGTGGTGAGCCAGGACTGCAAAAAGTAAACATGGAGTAAACTATTCTCAGAAAGTGTAGGTTCAAAATAAATAAGGCATGGCAAAATTACTGTGATTTATAAGGTGCTAAAAATAAAGGTGCAAAGGAAATGAGAATTAGTAATACAAATAGTGTGGGAACAGGGCAGAAGTAGTTTCCTTTCCTGCTCTCCTTACTCGCCTGGAAATCATTCACTTCACTGGGAGTGCGGGATCTTTGTGTGTGTGTGTGTGTGTGTGTATGTATTTCTATAGTTTATTTACTTTTCAAATAGGTATGGTGCAGGAGTGGAGTGCTTGTGCTTCAGCCACACTTATAAATCACTCTTTTTGACTCTAGGATTTCTATATTTCAGTCATGTGGCTCTTCACCTTCTCACTTTGTCCTCTCAGCTGTGCCTATTTGGAAAGTATGCTGGTATCCGAGTCTGTCAGTCCAAAATGGATGGAATCATTCCTATTATTTGTGTGTGTGTTTGTCTGAGGGCAGATTCAGGCCCGAAGCTTTTCCCAGAGGAGTGTGCAAGCCTGGCGGACAGAACCTGGGAAGGCCGTGACGGCGCAGGCGCTTGGGTGGATAGTCACACACATGGATAGTGGGAGGATTGAGGCTGGATTTAGGATTTAATTTGGCTGAATTCGATGGTGTTCGTGTAGGATTTGTTGAAGCCCAATACGGATTGGAGTCCCAGGTCTCCTATGCAGTGCACGCCGGRGCTTTGGGAAAGGCGTTGCTGATTTAGGGAGGTTTTGTTCTATTAGGCAGAGGGCTTCCCTCTTTGGAGTCCTTAGGAATCATAATTGAATGTCTGTGACGCCAAAGGATTTGTTGATGTTGTTAGKATCAGTATTAAGAGTGCCACTACTTGTAAGCGCTCAAGTGGAGGTGCTCTGACACGCGCTCTCTCCCGGCCCGCGCAGGACCCTGCAGCCTCCGACGCAGGTGCCGGTGGTGGTTTCAGCCGGGAACCCRCAGCTGCACACGGTGACACTCCAGACGGTGCCCCTGACCACGGTGATCGCCAGCACGGAGCCGGCCGCCCCGGCGGCCCCCGCCAAGTTCATCCTGCAGGCCATCCCCACGTCGCAGCCCATGGCGGTGCTCAAGGAGAACGTGCTGCTGCCGCCGCGGCCGCCGTCGCCGCCGGCGCCCCTCGTGCTGAGCCCGGCGCAGGTGCAGCACGTGCTGGGCAGCGGCGTGCAGACAGTTTGCAACGGGGCGGCCGAGGCGGCCGCGGCGCCGTCCTACGGTGCCGCCGCCCCCGTGGTGACGTTCTCGCCCGGCGGCTCCCAGGGGACGGCTCCGCCGCCCGGCGCCGTCATCACCTCCGTCATCAAGGAGGCCAAGCTGGGAGCCGTGAAGCAGGAGGAGCAGGAGGAGCAGGAGGAGGAGGGCGGCGGGGCCGAGCAGCAGCCCTTCGTCGTGGTCATGTCTGCTCCAAATGGTTTCCCGCCCAGCGTGCAAGTGAAGCAGGAGAGCGAGCCCTCGGAACCCAGTCCCTATAAATAAATCCAAAAGGAAAAAGACCCTGTGGATGATGGTTTTCGTAAATGTGACGGGACCTTCTCAGTTGTGTACATACGATTTGATTCCAAAGTTACGAAGCTACTTAATTTCTGCAGTTAATTGGTAGGATTCATGCTTTAGAACGGGTTTTGATTTTCTGTTAATTGCTAAATGTTATCATATAAATAAAAATACATATTACTCATGTTTCAAAATACAGGCATGAAGGAACGTGCTTTTTTTAGGCTATGAAGATTTTCTCTTGAGKTTTTTTGGCCAAAGTTCCAAATTTCTTACATATTTGTATGTTTTCAGTCTGTTGCTAATTTACATTACAATAACATTATTGTAACCTCTCTGTTTAACCCACACATGTATCACTTACCTTTTGAAGCAACAGTTACTTTTACTTTGGATGGAACATTTTCATTCCATGTGTATGATTTTTTTTTTTTTTTTTTTAATGATCAAGCGTATGTATCTCATACCAGTCAGTTACATCAGATTTAGCCTTTAATAATGGACAGTGATAACCAGGTATCCTCGTGTTGCATCTTTTTTTTTGCAACACACGCTCTCGTGTGTGCAAAGTGAAATATACACTCCTATTGAGAGTATACAAAACATTTATTCCAGTAATGGACAATGCCAGGACTATATTTTATATGAAAACATCAGATATATTTAATTACAGAAACTAGTGGCATCACTACAGGTGCAAATGTTTCATGCCATTTTTTGACTATGACTTTTAACAATTTCACTTTCTACTTCAGATTATTTTGTAAGGGGGGAGGGAAATGAAATATATACAATTTGTGCAGGAATTCTGAGATTAGTACTGCTAAGAGTTCTTTTTTTTTGATTGTAAATAATGTACATTCAATGTCACAAGGAAGTTTTTCAGCTAATTTGTTTCCATACAAATTTTTGATAGATGCAAATAAGATCATTATGTTTAGAGGTCTAATGTTATATGTATTCATATTACAGAGTGAATTTGTATTTAAAAAGGCAAATTTTTAAATGATGGAGCCCTTTGAACCCTTGGGTTCTTGTCTTTTGTATTTTTAATTGGTTTATTATGAAAATAAATCAAATGGAAAAACACTTTTCTGTATTTACTCTGAAACGTTTCTGTATTACTGCAGTGTTTTGATGATCACTATAAATCTGCAAAATGCAGTGAGAAACAGGACAACGTGGTTCATCGGCGTGGGCCGGAGACTGAGTAGGAGCCAGTGAGCAAACTTCCCAGTAAGTTATAAGCAACCACAAACTATCAGCATTTATCACAAAAGCCCTTTCGGCTTGTATAAGGGCACTGAACGTCCAAGCCGCTAAATCCTAACATCCCACAAAATGTTTCAGGAGAACATGGATTATAAACGAAACACCACTGCTCATAGTGGAGTTTAGCTATGAGTTTTATTGTTTTCTTCCTAAGGTTAAAATTAGATATAGACATAAAAGCACCAAGAGGAAAAAAAAAAAAAGAAAAAGAAAAGAAAAAGTTATTCGGATGCTTGGCTTTTTGTTTTTTCCCTAACCTACTACTGATGTTAGACCAACCTCATCCTCTTTGTAGAGATGCAGGCTGAGCGTGGGTGCCAGGYGGTCCGGGGTGGCCTGTGGGGCAGCTCCCCTGTGAAGGAGGAGCTGCAGCCTCTGCCGAAGGGCTCCAGGGCTGCAGCCACATGGTCCTGGCACGTCTGGTTCAACAAGGACAAGTGCAGGGTCCTGCACCTGGGGAGGAATAACCCCAGGCACCAGYACAGATGAGGGGTCGACCTGCTGGAGACCAGCTCCACGGAGAGGGACCTGGGAGTCCTGGTTGACACCAGGTTAACCACAAGGCAGCAGTGCCCTCGTGGCCAAGAAGGCCAATGGGATCCTGGCTGCATCAGGAGGATGTTGCCAGCAGGTCAAGGGAGGAGATCCTGCCCCTCTGCTCAGCTCTGGTGAGGCTGTACCTGGAGTATTGGGTGCAGTTCTGGGCTCCCCAGTGTAAGAGGGATGTGGAGCTTCTCGAGAGGGTCCAGTGAAGAGCAACTAAGATGATTAAGGGAATGGAGCATCTCTCGTATGAGGAGAGACTGAGTGAGTTGGGCCTGTTTAGCTTGCAGAAGGYTGAGAGGGGATCTGATCAATATGTCTAAGTTCATGAAGGGGGAATGTAGGGAGGAAGGGGCCAAGCTCTTCYCAGTGGTGGCCAGTGACAGGACAAGGGGCAATGGGTACAAGCTGCAACACGGGCAGTTCCATCTCCATGTGAGGAAGAACTTCTTYCCTGTSAGGGTGRCAGAGCCCTGGAACAGGCTGCCCAGGGAGGCTGTGGAGTCTCCTTCTCTGGAGATCTCCCAAACCCGCCTGGATGCCGCCCTGTGCCCCGTGCTCTGGGTGTCCCTGCTGGAGCAGGGGGTTGGACTGGATGATCTCTAGAGGTCCCTTCCAACCTCAACCAGTCTGTGATTCTGTCTTGTCGCTCTTAAGGAACAAGGAGCACAGAAACACAACTCTGTCAGTATTAACAGAGACAGGGACTWGCGCTCTAAGCATACGCATTGTGGCTCCTTTTTTGAGGGCTCTGTGTTTCAGACTGAGAGGATAAAACGGGCTTTAGGGAATTGGGGAAGGAGGATGCTGGCAGATGGAACTGGCAGATGTCCTAGCCGAGCCGCTCGCCATCATCTTTGGAAGGTCCTGGAGAACGGGGGAGGTGC